AGCGCCAGCCTCTGGAGGAGGAGGAGGAGGACTCACAGCCAGGGAGCGACTGAGTTCTGCAGAACTGTCAGCTGTAATAAACCCACAGATTTACTGAGGCTCGGTTCTGTGGGACAGAATAAACATCACTGTGCAGCTGCAGCGTCTGAGTCTACACCAGAACCAGCACCAGAACCAGAACCCACTGACTGTGGAACTGAATCTTTTACCTCATCTCCTCATTGTTTCCAACCTGACCAAATAAAAAAAGAAAAATGATGGGAGCACGAACACTGAAGCCATGAACCAAACACCACAGATAAACTAAAGCAGCAGTGCATGCTGGGAAATTCAGTGAGGAAGTCCTGCTCCTTGTGTGGGTCAGAGATAAGCAGCTCCACAAACATGTTGTGTTTCCAGCTGAATAACAACACCACACAGACTGCAACATTTTTAACTGTTTTATTTTCTACACACACTACTAGACATAAAAAAACATTTAAAATTACATGTTTATATTCCAACAAAAAAAGTATTTCTGATAAACACCCATTATTTAATTAAAGGACCATTAGCTGCTGTTTATGAGCTGCTGCCTCACAGAAAACAACTTTTTATAAAATCCTGCCTGTTTTTAAAGCATTTTAACCAAACCCAGATCAAAACAGCTCTTTTTTTTTACATTCAGAACATCTGACCCAACAGAACCCAGCACCTCTCATCAAAAACAAATTCTTACTTTATCAATTTATTAAAATTACATATTAATCCTAAATAACGCGCCTGGAAACTGAATTTTCAGCCGAAACCTGACTGGTACTGAAACAGTTCAGAAAAAGTCCTGGATCCGGTTTGACCCGGTGTTTATCGGAACCGGCGCATGAAATCACCTTAAATTCAGGATTCTTTTAACGAGGTTTGGTTCGGAGCGTCCCGCCCCCCGGAGGAAGCTCTGAACAAACAGACCGAGCTGACGTTTCCTGGAAGCTCTGCTCTGACCTCAGCCTGACCGTGGAGGCTTCCCACGGACACGGAGAAGCCCACGGAGGCTCGGAACCGAACCCACGTCGATACAAGGTGGGCTGAAAACAGCCCCGAAAGGAAAAAACACAGAACATCTTCAGGCTGCCCTCAGCTGTGACCCCTGGAGCCATTCAAACAAAACCGCGCGAAACCAGCTGTTTTCAGATCATTTAATAAAACTTAAAACACACATTTCATCAGAACACAACGTTACAAACAGCAGGACGTACCCGAACCGAGCCGCGGCGGCCCAACACGGCGGCAGAACCTCACCGTTTCTGCGCAGCAGCTGGAACTCCTCTCATCCGAGTCTGCTCTCAAGTGCGCATGCGCGAATCGAGGCCAGCGCTACGATAGGGGAACCCAGTGACGTCATGAAAGACAGCAGCCAATCAACGCTGAGGAACTTTCCTTCACAATAAAAGCCTCATTTTCACCGGAAAACAAATGAAAGGTAAAAC